TTTGTTGCCATGGTAACAAACTGAGATTCTGAGATTGTCTGTTAAAGTCTGAAGAATATCTCTCACTTTAAAACATTTTGAAATTATTTTCACTGGTATGGTCCCCCTTCAGTCCCCTTCAGTCTCCCCTCTGTCCCCCTCGGTCTCCCCTCGGTCCCCTCAGTCTCCCCTCGTCCCCTTCAGTCCCTTCAGTCCCCCTCAGTCTCCCCCTCAGTCCCCTCTGTCCCCCTCAGTCTCCCCTCTGTCCCCCTTCAGTCCCCTTCAGTCTCCCTTCAGTCTCCCATCAGTCTCCCTCAGTCTCCCTCCGTCCCCCTTCGGTCCCCCCCGGTCCCCTTCGGTCCCCCTCGGTCTCCCCTTCAGTCCCCTCCGTCCCCCCCCCCACCGTCTCCCTCCGTCCCCTTCGGTCTCCCCTTCGTCTCCCTCCGTCCCCCTCTGTCCGCCTTTGTCCCCCCTCGGTCCCCTCAGTCCCCCCTCAGTCCCCCTTCAGTCTCCCTTCAGTCCCCCCTCAGTCCCCCTTCGGTCTCCCCTTCGTCCCCCTTAGTCCCCTCAGTCTCCCCTTCAGTCCCCCTCGGTCCCCCTCAGTCCCCCTCAGTCTCCCTTCAGTCCCCTCAGTCCCCCTCAGTCCCCTCGGTCCCCCTCGGTCCCCCTTCAGTCCCCCTCGGTCCCCCTCAGTCCCCCCTCAGTCTCCCCTTCAGTCCCCCTCAGTCCCCTTCAGTCTCCCTTCAGTCCCCCTCAGTCCCCTTCAGTCTCCCCTTCAGTCCCCCTCAGTCTCCCCTTCAGTCCCCCTCAGTCCCTTCGGTCTCCCTTCGGTCCCCCTCGGTCTCCCTTCGGTCCCCCTCAGTCCCCCTTCAGTCTCCCCTTCAGTCCCCCTCAGTCCCCTTCAGTCTCCCCTTCAGTCCCCCCTCAGTCCCCCTTCAGTCTCCCTTCAGTCCCCCCTCAGTCTCCCCTTCAGTCCCCCTCAGTCCCCCTCAGTCTCCCCTTCGTCCCCCCTCGGTCCCCCTTCAGTCCCCCCTCTGTCCCCCTCAGTCCCCCTTCAGTCCCCCTCAGTCCCCCCTCAGTCCCCTTCAGTCTCCCTTCAGTCCCCCTCAGTCCCCCTCAGTCCCCTTCAGTCTCCCTTCAGTCCCCCTCGGTCCCCCTTCAGTCCCCCTTCAGTCCCCCGGTCTCACCGTCCATGTCCTCGGTGTACCACATCTCCCAGCGGCCCTGGATCTCCTGCAGCCAGTCCGCGGAGTTTCGGGAAGCTTCGGTCCGGACCAGCTCGCTCAGTCTCTGGATCCGCCGGATGTTCTTCGCGGTGGGGAACCGGCTTCCGTGCCTGATGACGGCGGTGAGGTGTACCGGGGTGCAGCCCTCGGTGGGTGGGGGCTTTAACACGGATGTGTTCACGGAGGAGATGTCCCGCAGCAGGTGCGGGTTCACCTCCTCGTACCGGGTTTTAGTCCCGAAAAAGGAGGCGATGTGCGGGATGTCTGAGACCGACAGAGAGGAGCAGGAGAGCCGGGTCACCAGCAGGCTGAGAGCCGCTAACAACAGCCTGCTCCTGGGCGGGGAAACGGAGAACATGTCGGTGGTACCGGAGACTTAAACCGGGTTAAACACAGAACTAAACCGGGTAAAAATAAATAAAAAAACATCTATGAATTTAACACCTGCTCTCTTTGTTTGCTTTGTTGATGTTCCGGGTTCTTCCGACCTTTGAGCTCTACGTGACGTCACTCACCAGCGCGTTGGACGACAAAAAACTATTCAGGAGTTGTTGTTTTTTTTTATGTCCTTAGGAGAGATCAGTGAGAGACACCTGTTTCATCAAACATCAAAGTTTCATCTATGAGGGACAAAAAATGACTAAAGTATAAATAAATAAATGTTGGGAGAAATACATACAATAATGTATAAATAAATAAATAAATGCATCAATAAATATATAAATGCTGTAAACAATACATCAATGAATAAATAATAAATACTCTTTGTTTTTATTTCTACAGTTATATATGTATCAATGCATACATTTCCACATTAATGGAGTTATTAATTTATTTCCGTATTTTTACATTTACACATCTATTTATTTCTGTGTCCAGATCTCAAGATGAAAAGTATTTATGGAAATTTGCTTCTGTCTGTTTTTCAAAATTGACCAATCCTACTTCAGTAATGTTAGGACGGCCCACTTTACATATTTACTTTTCCTTGTACAACATGGACACAGAAATACATCAATAAATATATGAATATATTTATTTATATATAAATCTTTATATGAACTGTTGCATTTATTTATATATATATATTTATTGTTGCATTTATTTCATTATTTATTTATTTATACATTATTGTATGCATTTCTGCCAACATTTATTTATTTATTCATTTATTTATACTTTAGTCATTTTTTGTCCCTCATATTCATCAACAGAGATTCCCCCAAAAATAAAGACGGCAGAACGTGCTTCATGATGAATAACAAAATATGTCCATGTCCTATTGTTACCTGAGAAGGCAGACTCCGAGGGCAGAACACAGACGCACCTGGGGGAGGGGCTATTTTTTGTCGATTTCTTTTTTTTTTGGAACTTACAAATAATTTTTTCCAAATTTGTATTCAAACCTTTGTAAAATAAAATGTCTCAGAAAACTTTTGGAATCTTTCATTAACATTTTCACATACTTCATTGAATTTTTCTTTTGGAAATGTCGGCATGAAAAATAATAATTAAATCAGAAATTTGTTGGACACAGTAAAAATTTGTTGGATTTATTTTTTAATTGTGTAAAAAAAGAAAAAATCAAGAAACATTCTTCCCACTTTTTTTATTTGTTGGGGATTTCAAAAACATTTGTAATAAATATTTGGAAACTTTGATCCGAAAATTTTAGCCATGTTTGTCAGATATATTTTTGCAAACGTATAAATAAATTTAAATTTTTTTAGTCCAAATTTTTCTGAAAATGTGAAATGTTCAGGTTAAAATGTGTTGGTTTTCAAAATGTTTTTTTGAAAGATATAAATAATAACTTTTTTTCATTTTAATTGTTTGATTCGGAGAATATGCCAAATCAAAACAAATATTTTATTTTGTTAAATGGTGCCTGTTTAGTTTTCAGCCCTGAGTATTGGCTGCAGCTGCTCCGTAAAGATACCTTACACTTCTCTTTTTTACAGTTTGAAGCCTTTTACAGCAGACAGAGATATGACAGGAGTGTACCTGCAGATCGCTGCAGCCAGGTTCAACCACTAAAGGTCAGCAGAAAACATGATTAGGTAACTTATTCAGGGTGATGACATATAAAACTCCGATGAATCTTTCTGAACATGCATCACTTTATAACATCTCTGTTCACTTCATAACTGACCTGTCATTCATTTATTAACCCTACACTAATGGAACAACCCAAGCTCAGGGTCAGAACCGAGAGCCAAAAGAAAAAGTTTATAAAATAACTTCTTTCTTAACCAGCGGGCCACTTCTCAATCCGCCTGGTAAAAATAGTCCCAAAAGGTTTTCCTTAACACAGACGGCTGATGGTGAAAGTATTGTTGCCGAACCAATACGAGACACAGGAGTGCTCAGTGTTCATCAGACTTTTAAAAACATCAGGAGGTAACAATTCCTGCAGAGTTTAAGTCCATAAAGTGGGACATTTAAAATGTGCACAAGACGAGAGTCGTTGCTTGTCAACAGGAAAGGGGGGCCAGGCCAGTAAGGTTCCTCCAAGGGCTGACAAACTTTAAAGGTCTCATATTATATAAAATCCTCTTCTCCATGTTCCTCTAACTCTAACTTGTCTCTAGTCTGTCTACAAACCCCCCAATGATGAGAAAAGTCCATCCTCTCCGTCTTCTGCCTGCTCCACTTTTCAGAAAATGTGTGCTCAAACAGGCTGTTTGGAGATTTTCCCTTCATGACATCACAAAGGGCAGTAGCCCCTCCCCCAGGTGGGTGACACTCCCACAGCTAGGTGTTTGTTCTGCCCTCTGAGTCTGCCTCCTCACCGTAAACAATAGGACATGGAGCGAGAAAGACCAAGTACACCAAAGCCCTTCCAGAGAGGGGGCGTGGTCAGACACAGCTCATTTACATATTTAAAGATACAGACACAGCTCATTTACATCTCATCCTGTGAAAACCAAAGTTCATCAATGAAAGTCACTGAAGGAAAATGATGAGGAATTATTAAAGACAGAGGAAGAGCGATGGGACACTGGCAGACATTATGATGGTTGGAGGGGCCCCCAATTAATTTCTGCCTTTGGCCCTCGACTCTGGAAACACCACTGCACAAAACTGAAGTATTGCATAACAAATACACATCGTAAAAATAAACATATTTATGCTTATAACATTCTTATTGTAGCCTAACTTTATTTTTTGATGTCTTTAAAATATGATCATATCAGCGTAGTTAACATTATTCAAAGTGTTGTAAATGTTCATTTTTGATTAATAGACTTAATGTTTTAAAAGCTTTAGTACAAATAAAGTCTGTGATCATTATTATTTAATAAATAAATGTTTAGAGTTCTGTTCTGTAATGCAGGAAGTGTCGTGTTAGAGTTGACTCACGTGTTTCATGTTTACAAGTTGAGCGTTTAATGAGCGCAGGAAACGAGAGAATAAAAAACAGACAAGAGGGGGAGAAAGAGGGGGACATGGGAGGAGGGAGGAGGGAGGCAGGGAGGGGGAAGGGTGGAGTCGTTTGAGGCATTTTGAGCCTCGTGTCACTTTTGAAGATGAAGACGAAACACGGAGCCGCACGAGACTCTGCAAGCTGCCATTAAACCGACCAACCGATCAATCAGGGAGAGAGAGAGAGAGACAGAGAGAGAGAGAGAGAGAGAGAGAAAGAGAGAGACAGAGACAGAGAGACAGAGACAGAGAGAGAGAAAGAGAGAGACAGAGACAGAGAGACAGAGAGAGGCAGAGAGAGAGAGAGACAGAGAGAGACAGAGACAGAGAGAGAGAAAGAGAGAGAGACAGAGACAGAGAGAGAGAGAG